CCTCACTAGGATCTACTTAATGGATGGGACCCAAACTTCAAAGCTCTTCGACAGTTGGGGAGGTTCCCTCGTAAGTTCCGTAAGAAATTGAGTCCCATCCAAGAGAGAAAGGGCAGGACTCCAGAATTCCAACTACTCCATTCATACTCGGCTCGTACTCCAAAAATTTCTTTAGTAGATGGGGTATGCCCGTCTTATCCTTTACGATAATCTTGGATCTTTATATATTATATAGAGAAAGTATTCTTGAAACCTTACGTATTACGTATGAGATGTATCTATAGAGTCCTCATATGTTGTATAGAGAAGATACTTTTAGGTCCTCTTATGGTATATAATGAGGTATCCATGAGTTCTCATATCTTATTTCTCTATAGTAACTTTAAGTGCTCATATACCGTATAGTGAGAGCACCTCTGAGCCTTTATATTTCATCCATCGAGGATATCGATTGGACTTCTTGTGCAACTTATTGAGATATCATTGTCTATATACAGATATCGAGTATCTGTTGTTTTCCATTGCAGTATGAAAGAACCAAATTCACTGTATTAAGAATTTGAATGTGGGTGTGTGATTGATATAGAACCGACACATCACACCCAGAATCTTATTCCAAAGAAATTCTCGCAGCAACGTTCAATACATATCCCTTACAATTAACAACCGTTTACAAAACAGAGATGCTATCATGCCTCGAACTTGCTCGACTGGTCATTAGCCTTCGACTTCGTCTCTCTATCTATAGACTGCTGATTTCCGTTGGTGTGTATTTTTTCGTGAAAATTGTAATCTTAATTATTTATTTATTTTGTTATAAAATGAAGAGAAAAAAGCACTTTTCATTCTCACTCTCACACTCAAAATAAGTGTCGGGTCATTACGATAAAAGTTTGTTTGCCTCAAGAATAACTGCACCGACATGACATCTAGGTGATACATGGGAGCGATGTCGGGTCTCAAGAATTCTTCGAACCAACGTCAATGGATTGGAGTTAAAACGACAGTGAGCTAACTGAAGATAATGACGATGTTTGATCTCTCTGACAAATCCATCGTTTGCAATCCAACCTCGCTCGAACGCCTCTTCTTCCATTTTTGTTCGAGGCTTCGGACACAAGCCTAACATTTGACAATAAGCACGTTGCTCTTCCGCACTCTTAAAGTAGAGAGTGCCGTTGAACAGCGATAATTCAGCTAACCATTCCATGGGAACCGAAAATAATAATCGAGGAATCGTTAGTGTTGGTGTGTTGATTAGAATGGATTGATGACGTTTCATACGTGGTAACAATAAACGCAAGGTTGTCCCCGACTGTCCACTCAGTTGGCCGATCAGCCAATTAGCTTCGAAAGGACTGATGAAAATGATATGTTCATCACGATAGATAATCACCCATCGTGGGGGTCGCAAAAATGAGTCCAACGACTCTCCTCGGGCTTCAATGACATGTTGGTATTCCTTGGAAACCCATAGATTGTTTCGCCAACTGGCCGATTGACACTGCGAAGCGAAGGTGGTGTCAAGAAAGGCATGCGAAAGCGGGAAGAAAACGGATGAATGCTGCGCCAAATTCAATATCGGACTTTGTGCATCGGCCAGTCTTTTGATCACTTCCTGTAAGGTGGGCTCGTGCGGCACGGGTGGGATAGGTCCTTCACGTTGCTGTTCTTGCTCGATTTCTTGTTCGACTTCTCGCTCAAATTCTCGTTCTTGTTCTTCATCGAATGACTGAGCTAGGAGTGTCTTTACTCCTCCAAAAGAATTCAATCGCCTGAGGACCTCACCATTGATTTTCGATGCTAACGGAATGCTAGACTCCCGACAACGAGAGCGATGGATCTCTGCTATCTTCTGCATTGATTTGGACATTCCATACATGCGAGTTAATTCCAACACCTCGCCTTCCACGCACTCTCGAAACAATTGCTCCATAATCATGTCGGTAAACTGTTGTCCTTCATTTCTCCACTGAATACCGCGAAAAGCAGCGGTTTTTCGTTGAAAAGTGAGACTTTGCGCTGCCCAATGATGCAATCCATCCCACGTAGCCTGTTGCGTGTTTTCATAGACCCAACGCAAGATATCACTCAGCCTGATCTGTTCTTGTGCATGTGCGTTCTTTTTGAGCATGCGAATGCGTTGATCAACTTCATGCGAACTACAAAATTTTAATGAATGACCTTTGCCCAACCGTCGCATTCGCATACACGCTTGCACGAATCGATCCTTGGTTAATCCATTGCCTAATGTCACTACCGCTCGAAAGCCCTTAGGAAACTTCAAGTCTGTTCCTCGCGTGTGAACTTCATCTAAGTAGAACACACAACGCTCCAATCGTTCGCTTGCCGGCGAGGTATTGAACGGCTGATGATGGTTCTGTCGATCACCGACATACAAGGCGTCCGATTGAAAATAGACGGCGTAATCAATTCGGGCGGTATTCGACACTTTTAACCATTGAATGGCGATTTCTCGATTACTTCCGTTGACGAACAACGCACCGACATCAAGAATGACGTGAAGTTGTGCTGGCTCGTTGACGAGCTCTTGAAGAATCTTCTCGACCGTGGCACTGATTGGCAAGGATTGATAGAATTCGTTTTCTGCTTGGAGTAAATGATTGAGCACGAGCGCGTCGGTTTTCTTCAGTTCAGGCAAGTCACACTGCTGGATGTGAATGGGGAGCAGTAGTTGCGTGTCGTTGGTGCCACTGAAACCAGTGATCACGTGAGTGCGATCATCCGATGATAAATCCCACGCCGACGAAATCAGTTTCTGCGGGAATTGTTTCGCTTCTTGGGGAAAGACGAAATGATTGAGGAAATAATCGACCACAAACATATTCTTATGGAGAGTGGGGAAGAGAATAGTCCTGGTCTTCTGCTCGTCTTTCAAATTAATATCGTCCCATCGTCGGATCGTCGGATCGAGATGATCTTCATCTTCCGAATTGATCCACTCTTGATAGATTTCCTCGGGATGTTTCTCGTTCTCACCTAACCGTTTCAAACATCGAAGCAGTTGTTTCTCAGTTAACCCTTCATAATAGTAGAACAATTGAGTAAGGACAATGGCGATGTCGGGATGACCAAATTCGGTGTTATCAGCAGCAACATCTTTGGCGCGGAAGGGTACGGCCATTAGACGATCGAATTTCGGGTCGGGGTTGACACCAAAATTGACGCGATGACGTTTACTCAATCCGAGTAACAACACTTGCGAGGAGAGAAGACCGCGAAGGATGAGAAAACGTTGAATATGATCCGGCGGGAAGCGATTGTTCAGAGAGTCCATCGATGCACTACTTTGCAAGAGAAACGAGAAGAGAAGCTGCCGTTCTTCTTGCCGGTAGGAATTCGCGGTGAGCCAATCGTGGACGATTGTGCTTGCTAAGTTGTCAAATGGTCGATCAGACAATAGACGAAAAGATGGAAAATGACTGGATCGGGCCGACTTCTCATAGGAAACATCTTCATGGTAGCTCAGGGCCATAGTTTCGGCGTGTTTCTTCACTAATGCTAATATCGATTGAATCGTTTTCCAACGTTGTGCGCCGCCATCGACGGGCTGTTGACTACCGATGGTATAGACCAATTGATATTTGACATGAAGGATCTCATCCGATTCGTCAAAAACATCCCGAGCGAATCGTTTCAACCATCGT